ATAAGCTGATGTGCAAGGCATTGTGTAAAAACTCATCATTTATAACATTTGCATTGCCCATCAGATAAAGAAATTCACAGCACAGGAAAAGAATGAAGCTAATGAAAGTACATTATTAGTTCTTGTTTGCCTATTCCTTGGCAAAGGAAATTGGGTCCCAAGGAGCAACATATATGAAAACTTTAAATACTGAAAGCAGTTGAGGAAATTAAATCCCACTACTTTAGTTAAGGGACAGTAAGAGGAGACAAAATTTCTCCACTCAGGGCACTTTAAGTTAGCACTACATAACTTTTCCTATGTTTCAAAGAGTCTTGTAATAAATACTAATTTCAAAGCTATACATTTTACTCATCTTTGGAAGCTACATAGAGCATCAGAAAAGCTTTGCTCTTTTCATCAGACATAGGCCCCGATATTTCCAACTACAGAGATTGTCTGTATTTAAATAAATTCATTTTGGTCTGGGATCCCTCAGGATGATATTTTCTAGTTCCATTCATTTGCCTGAAAACTTTATCATGTGCTTGTTTTAAAAGCTGAATAGCATTCTATTGTCTGAATGAGCCACATTTTTTAAATTCAATCTTCAGTTGAGGGGCATCTGGGTTATGAATAAAACTACTGTGAACATAGTTGAACAACTACCCTTATGGTATCGTGGAGCATCTTTTGAGTATATGCTGTGCCTTGAGGTAGAACAATATTTACCAGCAACTAGGGTGGGGGGGCTTAATCTGACTCTGTTACATGCCTGTAGATCCTGTTCCCCTCACTGGGCTGCCTTGTCTGGCCTCAGTGGGAGAGCATGTGCCTAGTCCTACTGTGACTTGAGGTGCCAGGGTGAGCTGGTACCGAGGAGGGATCTCCTCCTTCTCAGAGGAGAAAGAGATGAGGGATAGAGAAGGGACCCTGTGAAGGGAGACTGGGAAGAGGGTAGGACTTTGATCAAGATATAAAGTGAACAAATAAATGAATTAATTAATAGGAAAATTAATTCTTTCCTATGATTACGGTGAAATTGGACTTGATTCGGAGTGTATGATGTAAGATCACTTCCAGGTTTAAGAATTTGTTAAGTTCTGGGCAGGGGATATAAAGGACACCTTTGAAATTATTCTAGAGAAATCAAGCCACAGTAATACCCAAAAACCATGTATTCTTTAACTAATCTCTGCGTATGTCAGTTTAAAACATCACACTCTGTGCTGTCACTGAAAATAAACTTCAAATAGATACAATCTGGCTCACCTCAGAGACACATGCCGACTTGAGTCTGGTGACAACAAAAACTCAAGAGGCAAGGAAAAGACTTCAAGAAGCCTTAATGTCAGTCACAATATTTCATAATTTCAAGTGCATTAGACTGTTTCATTCATTCAAAGTATAACTAGAATGAAATGCTCTCTTTTTGAATAAAACATTTTAAAGATGTGCCTGCCTAAATATGTTACCCTACAGAAATAGTTTCCTTCCAAGGAAAACATACCCAGGGCCATCAACTATGCAGGCCCTGCACACAGTCTCTTCTACAGATAATAGAACCCATTGGATTCCTAGGCATAGTATTTACCACAGGATTGCTGTCATAAACCAAATATGAAATATCTAACTGAGGCAATCAAACTAGAAAGAACCTAATGTTTGCCATGTGAATCCTTACCTTCAGTTTCTCTGCATCCATTTTTTTTTTCTTGAATGAGGAATGTATTTCTAGTGAGGTTGAAGGAAGACAACAATTTGAGTTGTGGGACTATCCTCCAAACAAATAGAAGTTTGTATCACAATGTGTTCCATGGAGAAACTTTGAAAGTTTCCTTTGGGAAAGCCATTCTGTCCTCAGACAAGGGAATCCAGAAAGGGGAGAGAGGACTGTCTAAACCCCTAAGCTTCAGGGACTTGAGAAGTGTGATGCTGTGTTTCCTGGGAAATGAACGTTAACAGGAAGAAGCAATAGGAACTGGATGTTTTGATAGTGAGGGCTCTGTCTGGAATCAAACCACAGAATTCCCCAAGGTAGAAGGCACAAAGGTGCCTCCATACATGTCTGAAGAAAGGGAGTTAGTTGCCATAATGCTTCTGGGGGAAGACTAAACCAAAAGAGATTTTTTTTTCTTTTTTCCAACCGTCACAATTAACTAAGCTGTGCCTTAGAAAGTAAGACCGTTATAAAAGTGCATTTACCAAAACTCTGGTAAGATGCAGCAATTGAAGGAAAATGTCTGATTGCCCTATAGAACATGAAATTGGGGCTCTGAAGCACAGATGTGATCCCAAAACTCTATAAGCAGAGATAAGTACCAAATGTGGATTCTAAGTTCTCATTTTTCATTTGGATTATGCTCTCAGTATTTTTTTTTTGCCTTTATAAATGCCAAGATCCTTTTGCATGGATGCTTAATAAAGGTACAGAGAAAGTGCTTCCTTATGCCTTTCTCTTAAGAGAAACCTCTTGAGAAGACAAAAGTAGACACTCTAAGGGTAGCCAAAGGACATAATCACATAACACTGTTTTGAAAGGAACCAACCATGGTAACAGTGGCCAAGAATCTAGCTATCCTTGCCTTCTAGGTTTCTGCAAATGACCCTGAAAAGTACCAGTAAAGTCATGAGAAATAATTCAGTAATTCTCTGCTTTGAAGTGGAAATTTCCTATTGGAGTTCCACTCTTACCACTAACCCAATACTTAATGGACTCTGGAGGCCCTCTTCCTGAGAAAACAAAATCCAGTAAATAAGAGGAGACTCCACAAAATTATTTGATATTGGCAGCTGAGGAGTCAAGTAAACAAAGCACAAAATGATCCAATGCATCCCTCTCCTCCAGTTGTTTCCAAAATAAATAAATAGAGAGTGCGTACAACCTGTGCACTCTTCTTATGCATCTATAGTCAGTGACTAACAAGGTTTTCATTGTTGTTGCTGTTTAAGAAAAAATGGGCCACACTTCACACAGATAGACGTCTGGAATAAAGGAAAACCATGCTGCTTTAATGAACTGACGATCAGTAACACATCCGAGTGACACACATCATTTTCCCTTTCCATCAGGAGTATGGAGGAGACATTCAATCCTGTGGGAAAGCTACAGTGTTTACTAACTGAGATGCCAGCCAGGATTCCTCAGCTTGAGATATGCCTTCAGCAAGGTGTTGCCAACTTTCCTTGCAGTAGGCTGTTCTGCAGGCTCAGCCAATAACTGACACAGCTCTTGGCAGCCTTCGGTGAGAACTGTGAGCTGTGGCAAATACTGAAGAGAGAGCCAGCAAACCCACGTCGTCTATACAGTCATTCTCAGGCACCACACGAGTTCTATTTTTATTAACAGCACCACTTAGACTAGGCATGAAATTAATTTATTGCTACACTGATTTAAAGTAGTTGTTTTTTAAATGATATTTGCAATTTGGCTTGAATCTGTTTTGCTACAGGAAAAGAGGATGGCACATAGACAATGAACAAAAGCAGACTGCACAGCTTCTGAGTATGCTTGTCCTTGAAGTAAGCAGTTAAAACGATATGGTATAGACTTATACTTTCAGTGGTCTGGAAGCAATAAGAAGAATGGAATGTGGGTATTCTTAGTTCTATTCCATAAAACTAGGGATGACATTTCCAATGCCCTTTGCATATAATCTACCCTGTTCTGATTCCAACTGGCAGAGAACCCTTCTGGCCTTGGCAAACTGAAGAAGCATCACTTATTCATTTGGTTTGTAGCTGTTTGTTTTCCTCTTTTAATCTCAATGGCCCATCAATTTTTAACTAAACTCTCCCCAGGGTTTATAGTTCAGGCAAGCCAGTTAACTAATATAAATAACTCTCCTGAAGAATTCTTGGTACATTGCTAGCTGAGAACGGTGGTCCTTGTACATGCTGGGGAAAGAGATATAGCATCTTCTGAGAAAGTGAGTAGCCCTTCCCTTATCAAAAATAATCACTCTAAGACATTTTATTTCGTCTGCAATCATGTCTGTTTACACCATGTCTCATACTGTGTGTTATTGTTTTCTTATTGACCAGAGTCATAAACTGCTTCCTAAAGTCTTAGATGCTTCTTCACTTCTTATGAAAATAGTAACATTAGTATACAAGCATTTTAAAGTGGCTTTATGCTTTACAGATATTAATGTATTATTTTATTGCACATTCTAGGAGCTTAAGAAGGAATGTAAACAATCAACTGTCTAGTGAGTGAATATTGCCAAAGAGCTATGAAGATTCAGCTGCAATGACTGGCTATAACTGCATAAAAGAAGACTGAATTTTGTCCATAGAGGCACTTTTGCTTATACAAAGTTATCACATGGCAGCCTTTCATTCTCCTAACTAAATAATTGGAAGACTGAAAAGGAGAGAGAGCCCAGAGAACTGAAAGTTTAGAATGGGAGCTGACAGTGTTCTTTCCAATATTTGATAGAGATGTGGTTCTCGCTTGCTTGCTATTCCTGGGCTGGACTAATCCTGTCATAGATAAGAAAGTCAATGATCTATTCTTGCTTTAAAAGTGAGACTCAATTCAAATAAAAATCTAAACAAATAAATGTTATGAGGGTTAAAAATTTCATTAAGTGTTTAATAAATGCATACTAGGACCTGTAATTCATATATATGATATAAATGTATATAGACATATGTACAGATCAAAACATAATATCATATACCTTTACTATATATAATCATTAATTCTTTTATTTCTTGACAATTATCTGCAATGAATCATTATCTAGGTTTCTTGATTTGGCAGAACTCTTGTTGCATTTTTTTTCCTTTTCGTAGTGCTCCACAATTTTGTCTGTGTGAACTCATATGAATGCTTACAAAATCATATCATACCTTCCAATAAAGTCTTTTAGTCAACCTAAAGTTAAAAGATCTAGGAGAAATGTCACCCACAAAAGATAGAGTCAGGGAATTTGCGTCTGCCAGCAGGATCCTTGGTCCATGTGACATAACTGATTTTATAATCTCTGCTCATTTGTTTTTACCCTTAGGCTGAACATCTCTGAGTAGAGGGCCTGTCTTCAGGTGGCTGCGGAGTCAAGGCTAAAACCTACCACTCTTCACTGCTACCCTGTTCTAATTACTGCAAATAGCCCAGGAGAGTGAGAGAAACTATGAGAAAGACACAATGAAGTACATAGTCTTCCCTCATCTCCAAAAGGAAGAGTTTTAAGAAGAGGTAAGAACCCCCCCCACCCATATACACACACACACATGCTTACCAACAGACAATTGCCTACACAGCTAGCTCAACAGTTGTGACTTGTTCTCCATCACCACCTAAGTCTCCTTCCTAGAACCACTTTTCCCTTTTAAAGCATCAAAACACCATAGCACAAGGAAGCATTCCTTTACAAGGATCAGAGTCCAGTTGAGTGTCCCTGTCTGTACATCTGTGTATCCTACTGGGACAATACATGAGATTCCGATAGCTACAATTGGTGTTGCTTCCCTTTGGCTTAGCATTGAAATACTTGAAAAGTAGAGGGGATGCTGTTGTACTTATGGTCAGTAATATTTCAGTCCAGAGGGTCCTGTTTCCTAAACACTAGAAGGAACCAGAGGTTAGTGAGGTAAAACACAGCCAAAATGTCATATGCTGCAGCCGGGTGTGTTGTAAATAACACTTGTAGGGGTGGTAGTGTTAAAACTACATAAGGAAAACAGGAATTAAATGTTAAAAACCTTAGCAAATTCAGTCTTTGTCTAAGTATGTAGGAGATAAATGGCAAAGAAAAGGGCCCTAACCTAAGCCACTTCCTAGGAGTGTCTTTACATTATTCAACAACTGTGCCTGAGAACTGCACACAGAAAGTTTAGGAAAGCTGATCTAGTAGTCCTACCAGGGGCATGTATAGGGGTTATAGACACAGCCATGTCATCTCAGAGTCCTCTCCAGCTCTTCCTTTCCCTGACATTTCAACAGGACCTAGTTGTCTCCCAAAAGGAGTTTCACTAACACAATGCAAAAAGTGTAATGAGTACTTGTCTACAATCTACCATTTGAGGGCGCACTCAAAGTAACATGGGTTTGACTTAAATGGCTACTACCGAGATGAGCAGAACCATGAGACCAAGAATACCCTTTATTGCAGTATGTCACATCAAACTCAACGGCAGAGATTGGAGCAGTTCTCTTCCAGAACTAAGAGTATATTATTCAGAGAGTCATTGCTCAGCTCCTCTCTCTGCAGATGTCAGGAATCTTAAGATAACTACTACAAGGAGAAAGCCAGTCTCAAATTGTCTTTTGTTTCAGAAAATGAGAAGGCTGGGTCTAAATAAACGAAAACATTGCAACAAGCAGTCTTTCGATAATGCTAAATTTCTAGATATTTCCTTTGTGTGTGACCCAACACTACCATATCAATTCAAATAGGTGTTTGAAACATTCAGAAGTGTATTGGGTAAAACAGAATTCTGCTTTGTACCTAAAGCACCAAAATAACCTGAAAAGGGGTCCACTTTTTCTTAAGTAACTAATTCTTGGAACAGTGTAGGCAATACAGCTCTCTTGTCATTTTCCCATTGCTACTCCACAACAGATATCTGTAATCAATTCTGGCCATCTTTCATGTCAGCCTCATTGTGATTTCAGAAAAACAGTGCTCTGAGGAATCACTATAAGTCTAACAAATAAATCAAAGCTTGCAAACAAGTTAAGAATCCATCCCCTGTTTCTATAAGGGTGTTCTCCCACCCACCCACCCACTCTCACTTGTCTTTTTGTTACTGTGACTAGAAATACACACACACAAACAAACACAAACAAACATACATACATTGCATCTGGATATTTTAAATGGAAGTTTGTGTTTTAAACTTCTGAAATGCAGTATGTTATGTCCAATTCAAATAGTGGTAACACATTGGCTTATTCCATGGACAACAGTATATTTTAATTTCTATGATTGAGCTCCATGTCTCTGTAACAGTGTTTTAAAGAGGAAAAATATGACATGAAAATTACAGAACTGAATGAACTAGTGGGTTCCATTAACTCAAAAGGAAGCTAGAAATTAAACCCAGCCCAAGATTTCTAACCACCTGGGTGCCTTAATGACATCTAAATGTACCTAAGGACTTAATGTTAAATGTTTTAAGAAATTCAACTAAGAGACTGTTTTAAAAATAGAATACAGTATATGTCAGCAGAAGCCAACTGTAAAAGCTGAAAAAATAGAGAATAAAGGAAATTCAAGGAATGCTATATTTTTAATTAAAATTGGGAATCCTAATAGTAATGATAATAATCAATATTGTTTTGCTCTGGCACATATAAATGTTTGCAAAAGCACCTAAAACAAAGGCAAGGCTTTCTCACCTAAGCAAAACTGTACATTCATACCTCTGAAGCCACAAATGACTTACTAAAAGAAAGAAAATATGTGTTTCTAATCAAACATACCTTGTCTAGTTAAGGCTGGTTTTTTAAAGGTAGAGTCCAATATTAGGATATAATCAATTATCCAATATTTTCCATCTTTCCTTGTAGTTTGCTAGATACTTTCAAAGCCAGAGCAAAAGCAATACAAAACTTAGCATATTAATCAAGAAGAGGCGTGGCAGTCACCTGTCTGCAAAATAATTAAATGAGGAGTAAGGTGAAAAGCTCAACAGTCTACTCTAAAGTCGGTCCATAGGTGATTTGGGCCTATGAGATATGAGAATCCAGCTCAGGATGAAGCCACAGTCAGTGTTTAAAGGTAGATGTCTTCTGAGGCTCCATGATCTCCCTAGCTATAAGAATCTGTTAATTTTGTTTGTTTGTTTGCTTGTTTGTCTATGGTGCTGGGGATCAAAGTTGAACTTCATGAGTTCTGGTCCGCCATTCTGCCATGAGCACATCCCTCAGCTGGCAGACATCAGTTTTTCACGGTGTTTAAAGAACCAGGCATGAGTTTCCTTCCTTGCACCATCTCTTAATTCCAATAATAAGTGATCAGTTACCCACACACAGTCCACAGTCAAGCCAATATGCTACTCATTAGGTATATCTTGCCTACCATGTAGGTATTGAAGCTCCCAGGGTTCTCTGCTGGGTAAGATCATTGAGGACCTTTCTCTTCCAGTAGCCTGCCTAGCACCATTCAACACTATAAACACTACCCAGCAAAGAGCCGAGCTTCCAGTTCAGGCCTAGCTTGACTTTTCTTCTGTGTCATGCATCTAGAGTTTTAAAGTAGGATGACTGAAAACATAAGAACCCAAGAAAGAGATGCCTAAACCTTCTTTTGTTAACAAACATTCTCAATAATTGTAATTGGTCCTCATATAGATCAGTTATGTAAGGAAAATTCAGTAGCTGGTTTTACTCTTAACTCTTTACTAACATTTTTTCTTGGATCCTAGCTTCTCTCAAGTGTCAAGTCTTGAAGGATTTTTCAATGATCATGTAAAGAATTACCAATTTCAACAACCACATCTTATAAAGACTTGGCAATGACTCCTCTCAAGAGCCCAGGGCTGGGAGAGTAGTTTGGTGGTTGAGCACTTGACTAGTATTTGGAAGGTCCCAGGTTCAAGTACTTCAAAATGAAATAAAAACTTCCCCAGTTGAAATAAACAAATAAGGATAAGATAAGATAAGCAGATAAGATTCTGCTTCGTGGGAGCTGATATTAAGGAAACCCATTAAAACTTAAATAATAACCTAATTGAAAGGTTTTCATTTTGTTTTGTTTTGTTTTGTTTTCTATTTTTGTGATAGTACGTCGGGAGTAAGGAGAGGCTATTGGTCTACAAACAAAAGGTCAGATCCATCCAAAGCTGGGAATAAATTAGGAGGGATGTTCAGAAAATAAAGAGTTGTCTGGACTGATTTTCTCACTTTAAGTTAAAAGAGCGCTTTTGCACAAGGAGTGGCCAGACCACGAAAAATTCAAAACTACTCTGGGTAGTGCATGGAACCCTGCGTAATGATTTAGCATATGGATTTCATTGGGGATTTGACTGTCTTTAGAGGATCATGGCTACTTGAGAGGGAAATGTTTTTACGGCACCAGTTCTTTACAACACTCAAAAACACCATTAAAGGAAATGGCATTGGATAAGAAACTATTACTGCCTGGTATTCTGCTAAACACAGTATGTTATGGATTTTGTTCCTGAAGCCCTTAAAGGTGACTGCCATTAGTTCTATTCTACAAACCAGGAAAATCAGGCCCTGAGGGGAGGGGTTAGTAATTTACCCAAGATTATAAGAATTACAAAGGATTTTGACCTAATCCATCAGGCTCCAAAGCAAGTGAGCCCCAGGACATTGCACAACCTTCCTTGTGAAGGCTTTAAAGAAACATGTTAATTGATCTTGTAAGATATTTGGAACTAAGCCTGCCTTAGGAAGAGAGACTACCAATTTTTTACATTTAAGCAATTATAGTACATATTATTCTTAGAGTCTGATAAAAGCTACACACACACACACACACAAATTATACTTTATAATAATCACATGCATTTCTAAACCCATTTTCAACTCATGAACAAAGGACTTTTTGGTCACTTTTGATGCCTCAAGGAGGAGGCAAGAGAGTGAAAACACCAGCGTCTGAAACACTAACCTATGTGAGGTCACAGCACACTGTTGGCATTTGACTGTTACTAAGTGAGCATCTGCATCACTCACTGGCATCTCAGTCTCTTCCTCTGTCAAGGGGAAGAAATCAATAATCAATTCCTAAGATGTGATAATCAACTAAGAAATCATGTCAGCACTAAATAAAAGCTAATTGCCAATGTTTTTACTGAAGAGAGTTCACCGACAATGGCTTTCTTTACTTACGTAAGGAGACTTTGTCAAGTTTCATTCTGAATCCATGTGTAATGATCTATATTTTCCAAATATACTCAAAATTCATGAGGTCTTCTGTATCATGGAAGTGCCTCAAACACACACATAACTTGGGTGTGTATCTGATGGAGTGATGTTATGCTTGCTTGATACATAACCTCTAATTTGCTTTTTAACTATGAGCTGCCTTTGTTATCCTGTTGCTCTGAGCTTGGTCTAGATGGACCAGGGTCACAGCTAACCCCACATCCAATAGAACTTATCAATCACATCCTAACACTGCTAACTGACTGGTTGCCGTGCTGAGCCATACTATAGTAATTTGATACGCAGTAGAGACCCTTAGAACCCAGTGCTATGCAGCCACACTTCCTGCTTCTCCCAGA